CATATTTGAGGGAAACACAATCAGGATGTGGCGTCAACTCTATATGTTGACATATGCATAATTTTTTCAGCTAAGCAGCCCTTAGCCCCTCATTGCTTCTTGGGAAAGGTGTGGGTCCACTACATTAATAAAATTAGGTTTCAAGAAAACTTCTCAAGCCAAAGCCATCTTCTCCAAAGAAACTATGACCAGGATAAGTACAAAGACAACCATTTGCAAGGGTGTCGCCAAGAAATACTCTATATGTTCTTGACATTGCCTTCATCAATACTGTGAATTTCATCCTAAAGTTTTCAGCAGTGCACATGCAGTTTCTACCACAGAGCTGATGCTTATGGTAATATCTTATATCTAATCACTATGTGAAGGTGGTATCAAACTGGAAATAATCTCAGAGAAGTCTCAAAAAAAAACCAACAGAACCCAAACCCAAACTCAAACACAAAAATGAAGGAAAGATCAATAAATTCTCAAACTGAGAATCATCAATATATTATGCTAAATATTAATGGTCTTCAAGGTCAATGTTTTCCATGCTCATTATGGTAATAATATGAGGTATACAAAATTTAATTCTTTAAATGAACATAAACCCATAACACACTGAAGCACATCAATAATAAAAAAAAAGGACATAGTAATTGTTTTAAATGGCTTCTATTTCTAATATTGCTTATTCACTGCCCTCTGAGTGCTTGTTAAAATCAAGGAGCAGGTAATTCACCAGCAGAAGCAATTATAAAATGCAAATGACTGGGCATTTATTGTCAAGATTGGCTAGATAAAAAAGGTCTGCTTAATAACTTGTTTACAAGCTGATGACATAATTAGATGGTTGTATCATAAACAACAGAAAAGAATACAAGACTAAAATGTTTTCTAAAGGCTGAAATGAAAAAAAGCTAAGCATTGTGAAATTCTATTAAAAAGTAACAATTAAATTTCCGTCTGAGAAATTAGAAGGCACCATCTTGTGGCTACTTTGCAGGAATGCAGTCAGGATAGTCTGGCCCGCCATCTCGTCCTACCCCTTCCTTCTGTGTCAACAAGAAAGTCAAAATTCTGCTTTACACAAGCACAACGCTTTATCCTTCCCAATACTTTCTCTGAAAAAAAATCACTGAAACTATGTACTAGGTAGGCTTATAGGGGTTATTTAGCTCAAAATACTCACACAGAATCACACACAGAATCCTAAGGGTTGGAAGGGACCTCAAAAGATCATCTAGTCCAACCCCCCTGCAAGAGCAGGGTAACCTAGAGTACCTCACACAGGAACTTGTCCAGGCGGGCCTTGAATATCTCCAACGTAGGAGACTCCACAGCCCCCCTGGGCAACCTCTTCCAGTGATCTGTCACTCTCACAGTAAAGAAATTTTTCCTGATGTTCACATGGAACCTGCTATGCTCCAGTTTACACCCATTGCCCCTTGTCCTATCACTGGACATCACTGAAAAAACCTAGCTCCATCATCCTGACACTCACCCTTTACAGATTTGTAAACATTGATGAGGTCACCCCTCAGTCTCCTCTTCTCCAAGCTAAAGAGTCCCAGCTCACTCAGCCTCTCCTCATACAGGAGATGTTCCACTCCCTTAATCATCTTTGTGGCTCTGCGCTGGACTCTTTCAAGCAGTTCCCTGTCCTTCTTGAACTGTGGGGCCCAGAACTGGACACAATATTCCAGATGCGGCCTCACCAAGGCAGAGTAGAGGGGGAGGAGAACCTCTCTTGACCTACTAACCACACCCTTTCTAATGCACCCTAGGATGCCACTGGCCTTCTTGGCCACAAGGGCACATTGCTGGCTCATGGTCACCCTCCTATCCACCCCCAGGTCCCTTTCCCCTTCACTACTGTCCAGCAGGTTAACCCCCAACCTATACTGGTACATGGGTTTGTTCTTGCCAGATTATCACATTACTCACATGTGTGTTTGGTGTAGACAGCAAATTCAGAATTATTGGCAATCGGAGCAATCAAGGCTTATTTAACTGATGTTTAGGTTATGATTATGTAAGAAAAACTTTGTTGGTGTTATTATTTTAGTGTACTCTAAGATTTAATCTAGTATTTTGTATTATAAGAAGCTTATAGCCAAATCTCTCTTTGTGAAACAAACAGGGTGCACTGATATGTCTCATTTCACATTATTTGAAGTACTAAACAGTTCAAAATTAGTAAACTGCACATCTTTTTTTTCACAAGCAGACATAGTTCTGACCTGCTGTTGGCTCAATGAATCTTGAATTACAGTGGAATTGAATCCATATACTGTTATTTTCATATCCATCAGATCTTGATCTTCTGGAAAATACCTAGTAAATTAGGACACTCATTTTTCAAACAAACTTGCCATAAGTGTCAGTGATTGATAGTCTAAATGTGATATCCAAACTTAACTTTGTTTTTGAAAAATGTCAATAAAAAAGACATTTCTCTGTGTCTGGAAAGTGTTGTGGTGGCATGAATTCATGTTTCCCAGAAAGACTTCCGCTAGTATCACAGGTTTCCTTTGAATTTTTGAGCATATAGGAGAATAGATGTTCTGAACCACTTTGGTTATAAGATGCAATAGTTATTTAGCAAAGAACACAATTTTATCAGCTGATTTTCTGAGCTCAATTCCTGTCAACATTTCACTCCTCCAACTAGGTTCACACCAGCCAATGTCTCTGTTTACGTGCGCACTCTGGGAGCAGTGTGACACTGAAAATGCTAGAAATACGTTTCTGGATTATACACTCTAAATCTGCATTGCCTCCCCACTGGAAGTGCAACATTAATTTTGTATATATCAAAAAGCAGACACACATACAAATATGTCCACTTATATCCCAGGATACTACATATATTCAACAGCTGAAAATAGGTAATTTCTTTTGTTTCCTTGGTTGTTAATGTGACCTTTGATCTTCCCTGTTTCCAAATGTTGACAAGCATTATACAAATACCAGAATGGCATTCTGATTCTAGAGGGATGAAACCATAAATATGACCAAAAATAGGTGCCTCCTCTCTTGCTATGGGATAGCCAAGACAGCATTACTTGCATGGTTTACTCATCCCAGCAGAGGAGATGTAGATATTGGAGACAGACGGTACTGCTTATCTCCGCTTTGGCTGCTGCTACTCCTTCTCCTAGGCAAAGGGGATCTACTATATTTGGGGATGATAGAAGATGTTCATTGGAGGTTTGTGGGTGCAGGACAAGACAGGGTGAAGGGATGATAGGGTAGTCCAAGTGTAGGGATGTTAGCATAATTTTCCTGTTGATTTGATTTAGTGAGTAAAGTGCTACTGAAATTTTACTTGTCCCCTGCAATCAGAGTGTGTGGCTGCAGTGGGGAAAGAAGAGGGAAGGAAAGAGATTGGTGGCAAGGAGGAAGGAGAGGAGGAGAGACACCTGACTGCTTCAGATTCGCTCCTAACTTTTTTAAGTATCTCAGTACTTGATGATGAGACTTTTCTGGCATAAGTACTGTGAAAAGGTCAGATACTTCCGAAAAACAACCACAGGGCTTAGAGAAACAAGTCCCTAATTAGGAAGTTTCTGTTTGTTTCCTCACACAATGGCCAGCAGACTGTTATTGTCACCTAAGATATGCATTCACACTCTGCAAACTGCTGAATTCATGTTACAAGATTTTTATCAAAATAGTGCTGTTTTTCTGAGTGCTTGTTAAAAATCCAGAAAAGCTAAACCAGACTATACTGATGTCCATAAGAAATCCACATATGATATCCACATTAGGAATGGATAAAAATTATTGAGAATTACATGGGTTACTTAAGTAACTGATACCTTTTAACTCACAATTTCATTTCAGAAACATAGCATTCCAAGAGTATGTTAACAGAAAGGAATTAGCCTAAAGTGTCATAAAGAAGAGGATCTAAATGTTCCTTTAACAATTTAATAAAATGTACCCATGTTCAAACTATGCTTAGGACCTCGTAACCTCACACTGCCTTTGTGCATATTAGAAAAAAAATCTTTTAATATATTTATAAAAGGATGCTTGCATACCAAAATATTGTCTCAAAAGAATTTGAAACAAATTTAAAATTTTCTAAGTAATGATTCAAGCTACAAAACTCTCCAGTAGCATCTGGAAAAATAACAATATAAATATAGCTATAGGATTTACTACTGATTTTATTACATTAAATTTACAAATAGAAATATAGAAACTGGTCACAAGCTCCTCAAAAGGAAAAGAAAAAAAGAAAAAGACCTAGTAAAATTTAACAGGTTCTCACAATTTTAAAAAGTCAGAATCTGTCATGGCAATGGAATATAAAGTTTGAATTTAGTTTCAAATATGGATACATACAAATATAAAGATCTATTCATCATGAAAAAATAATAATTCCAACTAAGTATCTCACAAGATATTACTAGTGTTGATACAATTAAAGTATTGTGGTTTTATAAATTGCAAGTACAGAACAAATTAACACTAGAATTTTTAAAACTGATTCAATTTGAAATTACATGACATCATATCAGTAGTAAACCCACAAAAAAAAATCCATGCTGATGTAATCTTTTACAGATGCTACCAGGACACTTTGCAAGTATAAACTTCTGTAAAGAACATTTCTACAGAGACATTTTTAGATTTTGATTTTGAGCTACAGTTTGTCTTTTGAAAATCAGAATTATCTGTAGAAGATTGTTTCCCATTACAGTTTCGGATTTCTTCTTCATCCATAAAATTAACTGCAGTGAACTTCCAGGAGTAAAAAGCTGTCTTTTTTCAGGCTTGAATAAGAGGAGAAATAGTCACTTGTCCTGAAATCTGGCTACAATTAAACACATTGAAGACAAATTAAAAGCTGTAAATGTAAGACTTTGGGTACTTTGCTGTGATCCTTTGTTATAAAAGTACTGTACTATATGGTAAACAATCAGTATGCATCACTTACATTTCACTACCAGTATTATTTAAATAAAACATTGATATAAAATAAAATAGGAAAAGACAATATTTACCTTTTCCAACTGGGCATTTTTTTTGGATTTATACAAAAACTCCCCTACTGCCACAAAGACAGACAGCACCAATCCTGCTGCCAACACAATGAAGATTCCTCCAATGTTTTGAACTCCCAAAGCACTGGCCTCTTTACTTTCCTCTTCTGGGCAGCCATTGCCTCTCCACCATTTCTCTTTCATCATGTGGAGCTTGCCCTCCTCTTGCAGCTGAAGAATTGCTATAGTGATCTTGTCTCTGTATGGAGAACCTGAAGAGACCACAGGGAGCATATATTAGATGGAGTTTATTTTAAGGAAAGTTAGTTATTGCTGATAAAAATAAAATGTGATATAATTCACAGGAAGAAGTATATCCTCTACTATAACATTTATTGAAAGGCCATATATATCTCACCACACTAGTCACACAAAAACACAAACCTACCTATGCATGCACGTATAAATAATGTGCACAGATGTTGATCCAGCTGATGATGCCTGTAAGCCAGGCAACACAATGCAACAAGTGCTACTACACTTAGTCTCTTGGTCTCAAACATCTTCATGTCAACTATTATATCCAGGCAAATGTTATTCATTTTTCAATTTCCATTAGGCTTTTAATTATGCCACATTATATTTAGTCTAATATACATAAATCCATAGGATGTTGCTTCATAGCTTGTTACCCTAAAACTAACCCAAGGTCTGATATATAACAAACATTTTATACTATTTATTAAAAGAAGAAACAACAATTTATGCCTCAGGACCACAAAAAGTCTCTATTTGACAGATCGTCAGGCACTTAAGATGCCTTCCAAGCGTGCACTTAATTATTAACAGTACCAGGTAACAATGCATTTAGAAAGATAAGGTTAAGTGTGTTTGGCTAACAGGGATGTAAATTTTCATATTTTAATGTATTTCTTTGTCATAATTCATTATTCTAAAATAATAATTAATTTGTAGGTTTTGAACATTTCAATATTTCAAGGGGCAGTTCAAAGGGAAGTATCACATCTTTGCATGTCATCTGCTTTGTCTTTATATAATGCATAAGGAGTTTTCAATGTGTATTTTAAAATCTACATCAATTAATGAAAAATGCCAGTGGAGAAAGTTTTTCTTTTCTGAATGTTAGGTACTAAATCAAATCAGTTAGAAGTGATTTCTGTGTTAAAATTTGTGTAACGTTAAAGGAAAGGACAAAGCCATTATTTTTCTTCTGCTCCCTTGAAAACAGTAACAAAAGATTCCTCATTAAAGTGGTTAAGTATTAAAAAGGAAAAAAAAAAAAAAGGCAGATGAAAAGGCATGGCATCCTCTCTTTCATGTCCTATGAATGCAATTCTACAAAGAACTCCTCCTCTTTTTCTGTCATAATAATGCTACTTACTAGCTATAATTTTTAGTGTTTCATTTGGCTGAGTAGTAACATATATTTTCATTAACTTGATAACTTTTAAAAAAATCCTCAGAGAAATGCTGCCTATTTGACTACTTCGTGTACTGTGAACAGCTGTGAAGAAGCTGAAGGAATACATACATAGGATATTTTATACTGTTCACACTCTTGGAAAACATAAATTTTCTTTTGGAATTTCTTTCAATTTATTCTTAGTTTCTTTGATTTCTTCTTACATTTCTTAGCTTATCATGAGAATAAAGCCAACAGCAGAGGGTTGCTGTACCAGCATGGAAGTAAAACATAGAAAGAACCATTAATTACAAATCACTCTGGACTTTTCCTTTATTCCAGAATAAGAGGTGGGAAAAGCTGGCCTCAAAGCACTGAAGCTGCAAGAAATTGTGCTTTTATCATCTATGCTTCAAAAACAGTGGTGCTGTGTATTAGGAACTAAACTGTGTTTACACAGGACTACTCTCTTGTGCATACAGGGGCTTAAGTCACACCATTTCAGATGATCCTGATTATGCTGAAACTGCAGAATTCTATACCTGACACATTTCTTCAGTGAGATGGAAGAAGGAAAATAAGTAGTCCACAAGAGCCTGGGGAAGTGTAAGTGCATCCTATAATATCTTGGGGATATTTTCAATGTTACACTGCCTGTAAATATTTAACAACAACAACTTAAATAACATTAGATTCTAAGAAATAATCTTAGAACTAGTTTAAGCCATCTTCTGATCTCACAGGCTGCTTTCTAATTAAATGGATTTGCATTTCATTTCCACACTTTCTGTTGGACTAAATATAGTCAGTACCAACTATTCTTCATGTATTATGTATATATTCTAGGGACCAGATTTGTACGCATAGAGTTGTAGTCCATTTGAAGCACTTAAAAAAATGAATTAACTGAGGAATTCATAGACCAAAACCATAAAGTATGGATAAATCCTATCTACAATTAGTTAAGCTTATGAGGACTGCATTAGAAGCAAGCAGTTGATAGTGATTTAGTTCAATAGGCCCTTCTCTGGACTTGTTCCAACAGTTCCATGTCCTTTTTATGGTGAGGACACCAGAACTGTGCACAATACTCCAGGTGAGGTCTCACAAGAGCAGAGCAAAGGGGCAGGATCACCTCCTTTGACCTGCTGGTCACGCTCCTTTTGATGCAGCCCAGGATACGGTTGGCTTTCTGGGTTGTGAACAGACACTGCTGGCTCATGTTCATTTTCATGTCCACTTCATGAGGTTGGCATCAGCCCACCTCACAAGCTTGTTAAGGTCCCTCTGGATGGCATTCCTTCCCTCCAGCGTATCAACCGAACCACACAGCTTGGTGTTAGCAGCAAACATGCTGAGGGCACACTCAATCCCACTGTCCATGTCACCAACAAAGATGTTGAACAAGACTGGTCCCAACACTGATCCCTGAGGGACACCACTCGTTACTGGTCTCCAGCTGGACATTGAGCCATTGACCACAACTCGTTGCATGCAGCCATCTAGACAGTTCTTTATGCACCGAGTGGTCCATCTGTCTAATTGATATCTCTCCAATTTAGAGACAAGGATGTCATGTGGAACTGTGTCAAATGTTTGCACAAGCTCAGGCAGATAACGTCAACTGCTCTATCCCTGTCCATCAGTTCCGTATCCCTATCATAGAAGGCCACCCAATTGGTCAGGCAGGATTTCCCCTTAGTGAAGCCATGCTGGCTGTCACCAAGCACCTTGTTGATTTTCATGTGCCTTAGCATGCCTTCCAGGAGAACCTGCTCCAAGATTTTGCCAGACACAGAGGTGAGACTGAGTGGTCTGCAATTCCCTGGGTCATCCATTTTCCCTTCTTGAAAGTGGGGGTTATATTTCCCATTTTCCAGTCATCGGGAGCCTCACCTGACTGCCATGATATTCCAAATATGATAGACAGTGGCTTAGCAACTTCATTTGCCAGCACCCTCAGGACCCGTGGATGGATTTCATCAGGTCCCATGGACTTGTGCATGTTCAGGTTCTTAAGATGGTCTCGAACCAGATCTTCTCCCACAGTGGGCCTGAGATCTTCTTTCTCACAGTGGTGTGGTCAGAGCCTTTTCCAGTGAAGACCGAGGCAAAGAAGTCATTAAGAGCCTCAGCCTTCTCCAAATCCAGGGAAGTCAGTTGTCCCTCTCTTCCTGAGAGGGCCCACATTGTCCCTAGTCTGTCTTATATTTGCAATGTATCTATAGTTTCCCTTCCTATTACCTTCCACATCCCTAGACAGCTTTAATTCTAACTGGACCTTAGTTTACCTAACCTGGTCCCTAGCTTCCCAGACAACATCCCTGTATCCTTCCCATGCTGCCTGTCTTTGCTTCTACCTTTTTTTTATTTTTTTCCTCTAAGTTTCCTCAGCAGCTCCTTATACATCCAAAGATGTCTCCTGGCCCTCCTGCTGCACTTCCTTCTAGTTGGGATGCAACACTCCTGAGCTTGTAGCAGGTGATCCTTGAATATCAACCAACAGTCTTGGGCCCTCCTGCCCTCTAGGCCTGTATCCCATGGAACCTTATTAAGCCGGTTCCTGAAGAGGTCAAAGTCTACTCTCTTGAAGTCCAGGGAAGTGAGCTTGCTGCACGCTCTTCTCACTGTCCTGAGGATCTTGAATTCGACCATCTCATGATGGCTACAACCAAGGCTGTCCTGGAGCATCACATTACTAACCAGCCCCTCCCTGTTGGTGAGCACAAGGTTAAGCATGGCACCTCTCCTTGTCGGCTCCTCTATTACTTGCAGAAGGAAGTTGTCTTCCACACAATAAAGGAACCTCCAGGATTGCTTGTGCCTGGACATACTGTCCCCCCAACAATATCAGGATGGTTGAAGTCCCCCATGAAAGCAAGGGCCTGTGAGCATAAAGCTGTTCCTATCTGTCTATAGAGAGCTTCATCCACAGAGTCCTCTTGATCAGGCAGTCTGTAACAGATCCCCACAGTAATGTCCCCCATAGCTGTTCTCCCTTTAACCCTGACCCACAAACTCCCTGTTAGATGATCACCTATCCCCAGAGTTCCATACTCTCTGGCCTATCCCTAACATAAAGGGCAACTCCCTCTCCCTGTCTGCCTGGCCTGTCTTTCCTAAAAAGCCTGTAACCTTTCATTCCAACTCTCCAGCCATAGGAACCATCCCACCATGTTTCTGTGATGCCTATTATATCATATCCCCATAAAGGTGCACACATCTCTAGTTCGTCTTGTTTGTTCACCATACTATGGGCATTTGTATAGAGACATCTAAGCCGAGCTCAAAATGAAGCCAACTCATTGGCTGGAGCTGCTGGAATTTCTCTACATTTCTCCGAGCATTTATCATAGGTGTTGGCAACTGACTGGGTGTGCTGGGATGGAATGATACTCCCCCACACCCCAACACTTCTAGGTTTAAGCTTTCTTGACCAGCCTGGCAAGCCTCCTACCAAAACAGTTCTTCCCTAGACCAGCTCCACCAGCCCCCCAGTAGACCTGGACTCCCAAATCAAGACCCATGTTCTAAATACCCAAACCCCTGACTATGGCACCTCTGTTCTAACCATTTATGAGCCTGCCAGATCCGCCTAGCCTTTTTAAAGTCTTCCCCTTTTGTTCTGGAGAATTGATGAAAAGACAATCCAAGCTCCAGATCCCCTAACCACCTCTCCCAGGTCTCTGTAATCCTTCTAACTATTCTCTGGGCTACTGCTGTGTATATCATTAACACTCACATGGACCACTAGAAATGAGTAACAGTCAGTAGGACTTACTAGAGCAGGCAGCCCCTCTGCAACATCTCTGATCTGTGCCCCTGGCAGGCAACACACCTCACTTGAGA